GTTTGGATGTTGAAATATGTGACCCAAAACCTTCATTTTGCGGACAATCTTGTCATTCTGGTCATATTTATTGTCCAGTAGTCGGAAATCATACTAATAGCTGTGTTATAGCTGCCGTAGATAGCCAATTAAAAGAACTTAACTTACTTCGAAATACCTCTGATATATGTTCAAATGATAAAAGAACTGGTTGGAATATAAACCATAATTCCAATTGTAATATTAATCAATTCAAATGCCAATAATAAGGTCGCAAATTACTCAAATTCATCAATTGTTAGTTTTTTTTTAAATGAATATTGAGATTTAGTGAAGAATTTGTTATATTATTTACAAGCTATTGTTTATTTAAATGATTTAACTTCTAATATACAAATTAAAATAATTATATAAGAAATTCATTTTAAAACATTTATATATCTCTTTTTATCATAATAAAAAATATGTTTATGTACTTTTTTATAACCTAAAATTATTGTTTATAGAAAACGAAATGATGATCGAAAATGAATTTTAAAATATAATTATAACTTATTAAATGTTATTTTCTTTACTAAAAACAAAAAATGAAAATGAAATGTTGAATTTCCAATTTACATCTATTTTATAAATTTTATTCTTTTAGTTTTAAACTTCAATGGAAGGCCTGTGCTAATATAAAATAAAGATTCATATAGGTAAATATAACTAACTGAAAAACTTCTATTAAATGGTATACAGCTCGACTATTTGATTGCGATGTGAAAGGTTTTTAGTCAAAGATTTCCATAATTCAACATGTCTCATGTCATTTTGTATATCTCTATCGAGTATTCTAGATAAATCTCGTAGAGGGATGGAATAAATTTTGATACTTAGAATCGATTTGAGAATCGATATAATCACGATTATTGTTTCTCAAGATTTGACTCTGTTCGAATTTCAATTTCAAATATAATCAATCGAATCCATTGAGTTTTGTGTTTGAGAACACTCTAAATAGTTTAAATTTGAAAATAAAATAAATTAATTAAATTAAAAAATAGGGATATATATGCAATTAAAAAAAAAAAATATTAAAAAATATTAAAATTTAAAAAAATTAAATATTAGAACCTGCAATTAAAAAAAATTTTTTTTTAAAAAAACTTTTCTCAGCGATTTTTTGATTTTTTTTTTAAATTTTTAATACTACAGTCAGACTCCCATATAGTCACCTAATTGGTTCCATCAAAATCAGTGATTATATAGAGGTGTGACTGTAAAAAGGTAACCTCTACACAGTCACTTTTATATTTAAAAATTATATATGGTGACTATATGGAGGTCAAAATAATAGCATAATAGTTAATTTTTAAAAAAATACTTTATTAAATGCTATTTAAATGTATTATATTTATTAAATGTAATATAAACGCTATATAATATACTAAATATTATTTAAATGCTATGTATAAATGTTACGTATAAATGCTACGTATAAATGCTACATATAAATGCTATTCTATTACTACTACATATTATCGGATACAAAAAAATTTGTAATTGGAACTTGCTTACGAAATTGTAATTCCAACTGTTTAACTATCTTAAAATACTTGTTAAAGATGTTCATATCTTCTACACAAAATTCATCTGTTTGCTGTTGCTCAAAAAATGTAATCCAAGTTTGTAAAGATTTAAAAGCATCGCCCGGAGACACTAACATTTGTTCTTCTTCAGAGTCACTACCTTCATCATTTTCATTATGCATTTCCTTTTGAACAAGATTTATAATATCATTTTCACTATAAGTATCCTCAGTTGGGATTCCTTCTAAATTATAAAAGAAATTATTTAATGTATTTGCTAATAATGAATCACACGAATCATCCATATTAAGCTCTTTAACCATTTGATTAACATATGCCGCTTCTTCTTCGCTTTTTTCTTGTAAAGTTTGTGTCGCATTATGTATGTCTTCATTAGTGAAAGAAGGTAAGATTCCAGTTTTTTTCCAACAATTCAATATTGTTTCTTCAGTTACACAACCCCATGCTTCTGCAATATAATTTATTGCTTCTTTAATATTCATCTTCTCTTCATTAATATTTTTTCCATCTTCAAAAAGATCTAACATATAACGGCAGTATTTCCTCTTAAAATGGCTTTTAAAACTCACGATAATTCCAGCATCGAGTGGCTGGAGATGGCTTGTGGTATTGGGAGGTAAGTAGGCCAATTCAATATGAGTTAGTTGAAGTCGATGTTTATCATAACTTGATCCACCACCACAACCTCTACCACATCCTCCTAATCCACCACCACGACCTCTATCACGTCCTCCTGATCCACTATCACGACCTCTACCATGTCCTTCTGATCTACCACCACGACCTCTCAATCCACTACCATGATTTCTTAACTCATTACCACGACCTCTTGGTTCATCACCACTATGATCTCGGCCTCTTGATCTATTACTGCGACCTCTTGATCCATGACCTCTTGAACTACTATCATGATCTCTTGATTCATCATCGTGTTCACTTAATTCATTCTCATAATTACCTTCTTCATCAGCATCATTTTGATTATCTTGCTCAATTTCTAAAGTTGACGA